GAGAGAGAAAGGCAGGGTGAGAGAGAGATAGACAGATAGCTAGAAACAGAGAGAGATTTTCGTTAATTACATACCGTTGCATAATTTATAAATACACACAGAGAGACAGGAAGAGAGAGAGAGAGAGAGAGAGAGAGAGAGAGAGAGAGAGAGACGGGGGGTAGACAGGGAAGGAGGGAAGGAGGCAGGGAGGCAGAGAGGCTGAGAGACGGTGTGACACCAGAAGGTGAGGAAAAGAGAGCGGATGGAGTGAAAAGAAGACTGATAGAGCAAGTGAGAGTGATAAGGTGACAGAGACTTTTCACATAGCCCAGGCGCCCTACTTTGAAGTTTCTGAATCACGTTAACGTTGTCTCATGCACCAGAATTCACTATACTACAGTTAAAAGTTCGTGGCGCAATTTATCATCAAAATATATCTCTTTAACGGGTGAATCCGTGCCATCGATACTTTGCACTGAAATTTGTTTCAATTTGTCTTAACTTAATCATATTTTCCCACAACAATTGAGGCTCGCTTTAAAAACCTTTTTTCAAAAATGTATACAAAATACCATAAATCTCCGTCACTCGGAAACCGGAATTGCTCACAGCACTTCCTGCTTCTCACACACATTTTGCATACGCATACGGCCTACGTCACAGCTAACGATTGACACTTTTAACGCAAAACTTGTTACTAGAAATTAATTTTCAATTTATGCACTAACGGTTCTCAAAGCATGAGTTCAACAAGCAGATGTCACTATTAGAAAAAAAATTCAAACTTGCTTTTAAAAAGTGATACTACCCCAGCGTAAACCTTTTAAAATCAGAGAAACTACCGACTTGGATTTTTAATAAGTAGTTATTAAGAAATGTTCTAGAATACAACTTACAGGTGTTTACAAAAATATTGATCTGTTTAGTCAAATTGGTACAAGACATTGTGCAAAAAAGCTCGAGACCTAATAGTGTTCGATAGTTGGGGGAAATAGTTGACAATAAGTTGCGTTACGAATTGTTTACCTTTCTATAGTATATACGGTGCTATCATCATTCAGTGCCAGATCTGCGACAGACATCGGCAATCATGGTTCTCCATTTATTCCTTTGAACGGATGCTCTAAAAAAAAGCTACGTTTCCCTGATCTTTCCCTGTTACCCTTTTGTTTAGGTTCCCTGAGAATGTTTTTCTGGGCCTACCTACCCCTGCCTCGCTTGTCGTCAATTTTGCCAGTGAGAGCTAGATGTTCAAGACCCTTATGTCTGGTGTACCAGGTAAATTTCGACATGGTGATCTCTTGTCCATGCTCAAATATTTCTATTGAGCCCTGTATTTATTGGAGGGATACTATGACCTGCGTCTGTTATGAACGGCATTGTTGTAAGTAGGCCTATATTGTTAGACTTCTATGGCACCAGAAAACAACATTTCACCATATTATTATTCACCGTCGTATCCTTTCTTTCCATCATGTCCGTAAAGACAGGTTCTAAGACAATACTGCAGCACAATTTAACCTACCCTAAAAAGGAAGGTTGGTTTTAAACTACTACAAACAAAGGATCGGTCTTATTCAGAAGGACAATGCCCTATACGTTCTTATACTAACCGTTCTCTGACCGTCTAGGCAATGCCGCATCAACACAGAGAATCATTTAAAAATACGAAACCGCAATACTCTCCATACTTTAAGTAAGCATTAGAGAGAGAGAGAGAGAGAGAGAGAGAGAGAGAGAGAGAGAGAGAGAGAGAGAGAGAGAGAGAGAGAGAGAGAGAGAGGGGAACATGAGA